AACAGGTGTAAGGTCACGTGTTCTGATGCTGATCTTCCTTCAGATGAAATCAAACGTCTGTAAAATGCTGACATTAAGTTTATGGAGTGAGTTATAATTAAATGAGTAAAGAAACTTTAATAAAACCAGTTCAACCTTTAAGGATCAAAGTCAGCTCAGTTATTGATTATTGATCTGAATCTGGAGTTTAACGCCGTCACCAGACTCTGTTCATAAATGGTGCAGTTCGGTATTTTCCGGACCATTATTCGGTATTTTCGGTTCCTTCAGGACATTTTACAGTTCAGAGGTTTCTGCTCTCCGGTTCGGCTTCAGTGGACCTTTCCGGGACTCTTCCTCCGTCGGACTAAAAGCAGAAACAGCTGGAAACGCGTTCGGAAACGGAACCCGGAGTTTATACGAACCGGCGCTAAATGACCCGCTTTTTGAACGGAGACTGGTGGGACAGAACTTACCGTCGGCTGGGCTCTCCGCTGATCGATCACTGGCTGATTGATTGACGTATCGAGTGAGCGCGAGGAGACAGCTGTCAGAGGCACGAGGACAGGGTGACGTCACCTGTAAACAACCTGCAGCGTTTGAAGTGAAACCGGTTTAGAAACAGTTCAGAACTGTTCTGTTAATAACAGCTGATCAGAAGGATGTCGGACCTGTTCTGTTGCTCGGTTCTGTTGGACCGTCTGTTTACTTTCATTTTGTTTCTCTGCTTTACTTTTTGCATCTGCTCTGACCTCCTTCAGGGACCAGAGCAGATCTTCTTCTTCTTCTTCTTCTTCTTCTTCTTCTTCTTCAGGCCTGTGCTGATGAACTTTGAGGTGTTGGGGTGTTTGCTGGGTCTCCGGTCTGGCAGAGTGGTTGAGAAACTGCTGCAGCTCTGGAGGGAGAAGCTGACCGTGGGAGAAGAGGCTCCTCATGGATTTTGGCGAGGGGGCAGAGCCAGACCCCACAGACCCTTTCCCCACGATCCAGCTCAGGTCCCACTTCGACCAAGAAGGTCCTCTGCTGAAAGAGACAGCTTTTAACCTGCACACTGTGCACAAAAAAACTGTTTATAACACCTGTGTNTAACGAAGCAAGCCTCGATACGCGCTTCATAAAAGACTTCCTGGATTTCTCGACACACGCTCCGAAGCCTCGGCACAGTACGTCCCATCACTAGCTGGCACAGCGCCCCCACCTGACGCCACCATTTCTGCAGCCCAGTGCCTCCAGTTGACTTGTCGCCAGATTTGGTGACTTTTCAGACCCTGTTCAGAGACCAAACTAGCAAGTTGAATAGTGTTGGTCTGGGACTGCTGCTGGGCGGCACCAGAGCTCTACTGGGCCAGCTGGTTACCGAGTGGCTGTGAGATGCAACAGATGTGATTTCAGAGGAGCTTCCAGGTAACTACAGGTAATGGGTCCTCCTAATGGCCAGTGTTCAGCACTGGTTTATCATCTGGCAGTACAAACAGTATGTGAATGGAACATGTTGGAATCCCCTGGCCATATCAGGATGCGTTTTGGCGTAGTTTGGGTATATTTTCATAATCTGATCACATTTTTGAACATTCCAGGTATATATTGGCATACCCAGGGCACATTCTGGTGTGTTTCAGGTTCATTCTGGACATATTAAGGGCATGTTTTCTCACTGCTGGAGCATGTTGTGGCTTTTGTGGCCATATCTTTACATTAAATTCTCCAGTAGGCCAGCGGAGCCCCATTAGGCTACATGTGGGCTTCAGAGGTTGAGGAGAAACTCGTGACTTGTTTTGGCTGTGATAAACAGAGACTGTTGGGTTTTAATGTAATCCACACACATATGAACACTTTTGGCCAAAGACACATTTCCTGCAGTCCAAATGGAATAAAAATAAGGAACTGGTGCATAATTGGATTTGAACTGGTTTAACACTGAAGCGGTGGTGGGGGTCAGCAGGGTGGCATCCTGGGACACCCTCACTTTTAAAACCGTTGCTTCGTCCCTCACTGCTGGCTTTTCCTATTTCCACTGCTGATTTATTGAAAATATACAGATGTTTTTAGGTGACGTGCAGGAGAGAAAGCTGTCCATGTGAACATCGTGGCTCCAGTTTGTCCAGCTCATCATTACGCTGTAGTCTGTGTTTGCATTGTTCTGAGATACAGTTGTCATGATTCTTTTCATAGATAAATTCCAGCCATAGACTGCACATCAAATGTCTGAGTCATAAACAGAAACAATCTGGGTAAATGGTGAACACAAAGCATGAGGAGGACAGCATTAGTGTCTGAGGTGATGACTCGTAGCGGTTAGAAATGTCCCGGACAATCATGTCAGGGAAAGAGTGGGAGCCCTGTAAATACATATTTGAAATATGTATGATGTGTTAAATCTGAAGTTTAAAGTTTGTTTAAATTTCCGATGCTGACATTGCCGCTTTCCACCTTTTCTCCCAGAGTTCAGCAAGAAGTCAAAAAGACACCATTAGTGATATAAAAGGATTTTGTGAGTTGATATCCAAGTGAGCGTAGTTAAGCGACGTGTCCACAAACCTTCAGGAGTTCTGCTCCTCTGTCCAGGCCCTCGAGGGCAACTGTTGGGAACTTGAAGGATAATGATCAAAGCCTGTGTCTTGTGTCTGTTGTGCATTTAATGGTCAACGTGGGATTTATCCAGTGACGTTGAACCCTGGCAGCTCTTTGCCTTGACCGGCCCTGAATGTTGAGGTCCAGATGCTCGATGGTGCAGAAGACCAACCAGCTGTAACACCAGAACCACACTGACCCAACGACGGGTTGATCAGATGTGAAGCCTGAGAAGGCTTCGGCTGTTTGCTGTCACGTTGAACCAGCAGAGAAATGAACCCAGAATCAGTAGAAAGCTGCCGCCAGTGTAGCTGAGTAAATATTTTGCTATTTTATTTCTGTGAACTGTCTCAAAACTTACTGTTACCTTCTCTGTCCAAAAAAAGGCTACTTCTGTGCACTGTTAATGTACTGACGACAGCTTTGTAAATAGTTAGTTCTGCATAACCTGTTGTAGCAAGAGGGGCATTAATTCTGTAGCGGTAAGACGCGTTGGGACGCTCTCTCCGACTGTTTCAAGCGAGCGAGTATAAAAGTTATAAAATATGTTTTAAACTGCATTGTAGCTGCACAGGTCTAACAAAAAAGGCCACGCTTCATACTGATGTCAACGGAGGTTTATTCTTAATTCTTCTCTTCGGGAAACACCGCGTAACACCGTGAAAACTAGACACAATAAACAAATGCACATTAAAAAAAACAGACATTTGTGGATCTTTTAGTCTCTAAATCATACCACATTATACATGAAATATAAACCAAAGATAATTACGGTTTGCGCCTCTTAAACCACATGCAGAATGGCAATAACTTCTATTAACTGTCCATGCCGATTGTGACCCACAATGCTGCTCTCTTAACCTTACTAAAAGTTAGTCATGTGACCTGACTTGTCAAAATAAAACTCTGACACAGCGTACCCAACTTCTGAACTAAACTGGACCTTAAAGCGATCTATTTTTTAACAATCTGTTACATTCTTCATCTCAGTTCTCCATTATATATGAACAGCAACACAATGAACTGACAATCAAACACAAACCAAACACACACCACAATCTGTCTCTTAGACAGCTACAAGCATAAAACCATAGCGCGGACTTATTATGAGTCTGTATATGATTTTTGCAGTGGCTTTTGTTTGACAAAAGTGACATTAACTATGTTAAAGTCGTCGGAGATTTCACTGACTGCAGATGAGAGAGCGCGCTGTGGCCTGAATGTGGGACGAGCCTCTTACTGCATCGCAGAAAATAAAAGAACTGGTCCTGAATCCCGTCTGAGTGTCTGCCTCCATGTGTACCAGTGTCCATCTGCAGTCTGTTACACAGCAGACGCCGTGCGTCATCAATCTAACACGTCTATATCCTGTTTGTAGCTGTGTTCTATTATAATTGGGTTTTCTATGTTCATTTTACACTGTGGGACCTCAGAGTATTGCAATTACAGTTCTCTGTATGTTGTACATATGGAAACACAGACAATAAAGCTGACTGACTTTATACATATATATATATACACATATATATATATATATATATATATGTGTGTGTGTGTGTGTGTGTGTGTATATATATATATATATATATANGGAGCGATCTCCATCATTAACCCTGCTGTGTCCAACCAGTGCCCTTTTTGTAGCATGAGGGAAACAACCTTTCACATTTTTAGTGACTGAAAGGCTCTCAGCGTTCTTCACAGTTTTAACTTGTGTTTTTAAGCGTTTTAACCACTAAACTTATTTATGGGGCGGGGTACAACAAGACAAACAAGAAAATGTGGCACCTTTTAAATTTTATTGTTGGAGAAGCGAAGACATTTTACATCTCGAGGAGAAACAAAATACAAGAGCAGTCAAATGTTGATGCAGCCACAGTGTGGCGCTGTAACCTCCTGCAGGCTCAGACTGGAGACCTGGATAGCTGTTCTGACATCTGGTGCTACAAGAATATTTTATGTGCTGTTTTAAATGATGAACTGGTTTTTACTGACATGTTAAGAGAGTGATTGATTTATCTATTTATTTATCTATCTATCTATCTATCTATCTATCTATCTATCTATCTATCTATCTATCTATCTATCTGTTTGTTTGTTTGTTTGTTTGTTTGTTTGTTTGTTTGTTTGTTTGTTTGTGGTACTTTTATAAATATTGATAAATCTGTTTTCATGTGAAAACCATGTACATTTTTAACAGTGCACACCGAAATAAAGTGTGGTTATAAAAATTTTAAAAAATCATCTTCTTCTTCTTCTTCTTCTTCTGTCTGCAGCAGCTTGTCCTTCCATGATGGACCTCCATGCCAATGACCTTCTTCCAGATGTGTTCCTGGATCCAGCTGTCTCCTGATGGCGGCTCTGATGTTCACTCGTCCTCATCGTGTCCGGTCTCAGGATGCAGAACTTGTGGTGAAACCCTCCGTGGAAAGGAGCTTCCTGGTTCTGATGTCAGTGGCGTCCATCTCCTCCTAAGGATGGAGGTGTCAGTAGATGGATGGATGGATGGATGGATGGATGGATGGATGGATGGATGGATGGATGGATGGATGGATGGATGGATGCAGAATCCATCTCTTACAACCAGAGTGACCTCACAGGTCCAAACTCCAGCTCTTCTGCTTACACCAGTGATGGTCTCCTTCTTCTCCAGACCTCTTCGGTGTTGTTCTGCTGAAGGATCTTCTCCAACTTCCTCCTGGATCTTTCCTCGGCCCGTCTGATCTCCACCTTCAGCTGGACCTGGGTTAGGGTCCTCACCTCGTCCTGCTGCCGGCTCTTCTTGCCTTCGAGGAGGACTTGATGTCTTGAGCTGCCCTCAGCTTGTTGGTCCATGATGCACTCTGTGGTCTGCCAGCGTCCTCCACAGTTCCTGCCAGTCGTGGTCCTGACGTCCTTCACATGTGATCATAGACTTCCATTCAAGACAAGACAGAATCCACAACAGTCCCTCGAATAAGAAATAAGAATAAATTCATGAGAAATCA